TTTTATCATTTACAGATAAAAATGAATAAGTAGGACATTATATGAATCAAGTAGAGAAAATTTATTCATTTTTTATTGCTTAGCTGGATCTTATTATAGTAATTATTTAGCGTTGAAAATTGATGGTTTAATCATCTTTTATATAAGTTCGCAAAAATTACTTAAAAGAATCATTCCCAATATTTCACGTCAGTGAGAAATATTGTAAAAGCGATACCGCGCTCAGTTTTAAACGATGGAATTAATAGAAGATTTAAAAACGCAATTTAAAAACGAGTAATGTAATATCGTTTACTAGCTTTTAAAAAACGACCGTAGCGATATAAAAACTTTGCCAATTACTGCTGCAGCGGGAAACGATACTCACGGGAACGCACCCGTTAAAATCTCACGATAATCCTTTGCGAACATGACGTCTCGAAACTATCATTATTTTTTGGATTTTTTTATCAGATTGTTTAATTAATTTGTTGAATTTTTTCGGAAATTTTTGATGAAATATCGAAATATGTATGTATATTGACACTTCTTAATTTATAAATTATTAAGATCAAAGTTTATTATATTTTTATATATTTTTTCCAGGCACGTGTGTAAATAGATAAAAAAGTTTGTGGCGTTTCATTTAATTTTAAATGAGCTTTACCTTTGCAAAGCTCTAATTTTTGGAGTTAATATCTGAAGTATTATTAATATATTTAAATATGAATGTTGTTATATATGCTAATTATAGCATAATAAATAAGATAATATCTTAATTTATATTTATATTAAAATTATAGCGAAATATGTATGATGTATGATACACATATGATAATATATCCTTGTGATAGAATATCCTTGACATGAATACATGGATACTTCATAATGGATGCGCTTTATAATATTACAGTTGACAGACTCCTTCTAAAGTCAGTTCGCAAAGGAATTTTGAAATCGATTTTCATTGACACCGAGATCAGGTCTCCCAATATCCTACGTAGCTGTTAAACACGAGGATAATCCAGAACTTATTCATGCATGTGTGTGTGTGCGTCTGTGTATGTGAAGCGTTGAATGCCCAGCTTTTCGACACGCTTTCCACCCTCTTGTTTTTTTTATATCTAACCGCCGTGTGCGAAATGGCTGAAAATAATTCAGGACTCTTTAAAGGACTTTCTTGCTCGCGGGCTCAATGTTCTTTTAATTCTGTCTGAAATACCTTGTTTGAGCAATCAAAACTTTCTCAGAGATTGACTAGAATCTATCTCGATTTTAACGGATGCATGAGTTCTCTTTGAAAGCGGTGGTGAAGGAGAAAGAGCATTTTCGTAATGAAGACGTAAATATAGAATACTAATTGCGAAATTACAAAAATATGGAATAATAGTATTTTATGTTTTAATAAATTTTTAATGTAGATTTTTTAAAATAATTTGAATTACGTTTATAATTATGCTGTAAATTCAATTGAATTTAATTGTGAGATTAGATTTAATTAAATTGAGATATTTTCGATTATCAAGAGACTTCTGGATAAATAATTTTCCGATTAATTTATTTATTTTGATTTTAATTTGAGAAATTTTAACTTAGAGAGAAAATGTTTAAAGTAGATAATTAATTAAATTAATTAAATTTGAAGGCAAGATATCCGCTGAAAAAAAATTTTATCTTTTATAAGAAACAAGAGAAGCAAATTTTGCCATAAACACTCGCAGCAGAAAAATTTTCTTGAGAAAATGACATTTTTGCAATATATATGTCCCTCGTGTCATCACATGTACAGCAAAGTTACACGCTGAAGTTACACGGTGTTGCCTTGTCGAGTCTCTGATTTAATTCGATATTGCTGCCGGTTGGAAATTTTAGATCTCTTTTCATTAACTTCATCAGCCCGAAGCCCGATCATCTGCAAAAACAATATTTTCCCTCGTGAATTCACAATTTTGTGAAAGAATAGAATACGTTTTTTTTTGCCTACTTGATTATAAAAACGAGCATCTTGCAGGTAGAAAAATCGCTTCGCTCGACAGAAATATCTCGAAAATTATTTCTAGAGACAGTATCTCGCAGTTACAACTTACGGTTACTACCTCGTCGTCAATGTTTCACATACAATAACACGATTCTCTCGACGCTGAGAATGCGAATGTTATTTCATTACGCGTCCATACATTGTATCGCAAGAATGATTGCGGAATACTTGATGCCACGACTTGACAATAATATTGACTCGAATCAAATTAGACGATAACAATAGTCGCAGTTGCATGCGTACGGAGCACGACGAGTATCGTTACAGTCGTATCTTTCACGGAATAAGGGACCGTTACGAGGGTTTATTGAATTCCAAGGCGGAAATTCGAGCGAATAAGAATGTTGCCTCACAACACACGGAGGAATAACTTGAAACTTTACGTAGGTGAGTTTAGTGTGCACGCGCGTATTTTCATGTTATAACGAAATTCCCGAAGAGAGTTCTCGTGTATCGAAAGCGAAGATAAACCAAGTTATATTATTTCGCTGCGGTATATGCGATATATATATATATATATTTGCACCGCATCGAAAATACTAATTTCGTAACGCGATATCGTCCGTGGTCTTATCGGAATATGCGAAGAATTTAATTTTAACTAAATACTCCGTGCAGAGGAATTTTTTTCATTGCAGGATCGAGACCAGAATCTTCGAATGAAATAATAATCGAATTACGAGGCGACGAAGCGAATTCCCTCAAAAATTGCTCGCGAAAGAGAATTATTTCCCAAGTAGAATGATTCGTCTCGAATTGGCGCGATTTAATCGTATCTTTAATCAAGATTCTCGTTTCACTTTATACTTGACCGATATTGTATCGCATTTTTTAGAAGCATTTTTTTTTTTTTTGAGTTGTCATACGAAATTTTATTCACCTGTGCACACATTTGAAGGATGTGAAAATGGAAGGAAAATGGGGGGATTACGAAGCGAATTCCCTCAAAAATTGCTCGCGAAAGAGAATTATTTCCCAAGTAGAATGATTCATCTTGAATTGGCGCGATTTAATCGTATCTTTAATCAAGATTCTCGTTTCATTTTATACTTGACCGATATTGTATCGCATTTTTTTAGGAGCATTTTTTTTTTTGAGTTGTCATACGAAATTTTATTCACCTGTGCACACATTTGAAGGATGTGAAAATGGAAGGGAAATGGGGGGATGGTTTAATGGTGCGCGAGAATTGCACGTAAAGGTGGATCACGTTTGAAGACATATGTCCATGTAAAATTTGTCCTTCTACGCGAACCGTTCGCTCGCTCGATGCAATTTCGTCTCGCAGACCGGCCCTTTGTATCCCGACATGAGCCACGAATTCCAGAAAGGCACCCTTCGCGCGCACTCTCCAATTTATTTCCGCTTCCGTTTCGATGCGCAAGCACGTTTCCCTTTTTCTCCCCCCTCGCTCCCCTTATCCCTCTGCGGGATTGTTGCGACGGTTGTTGCATCGAGGAGAGGAGTATCGTATGCAGCTGAGTATCGGTTACGAGAGACAGAGTACAGGGAGCCTGCAACAGCTTCTCTTTTAGCATCACGTTACACGCTGCAGCAAATCGCTCATAGTTTATTTGTCAAAGGCAGACATTGCATGCATACACATTTACACACTGAAAGAAGCTTGTCAGTTCATTTAAGTTGTAAAAGGGAATGTAAGGGTATTATATAGTAATACGTCCCGTATGATGCTTTTATTCTTACATAGTTCGCGCCTCGGGAAAAAATTTCAATTTAATTAATTAATTTAATTAACAAAAAATTTTTCTCTTTCAGATTTTTCTACGAATGAAATCAAGCTCACGCATTATCTTGGTGTTTCAAATTTTTCTCTTATTTTAATAATGCGATAAAAATGATATTTTTTAATATTTTAATTAATTAAGTCGATTTTCGTGTATTGCGCTGGCACAAATGAGGATTATATTTTGATCTATTGAGTTAATGATTGTAATTATCGGGGCTTCGAATCAACAATAGTAATAACACACCGGGTATTATATTTCGTATTACAACGATGTTAAACTGATTATACGTTTATCGATGGAAGTTTATTGTTTCAAATTTCACGGTACGCAGCTGTTGCGGCGAATTATTTCGGCCGCGAAGGTATAGCGGAGGAATTAAGGGCTTTCATACGTCATTACTATATAGTAATATTAATCCCGTGCTATTTAACCAACATATATGTACGTGTTATTACATAAATTGAATCGACAACAAGCTCGCTAGCGGCGATTGATCGATTATTTCGTGATATTACGCGTGGTATATCGGTCGGAATTGTGGATTTTTTGACGTGAATAATTCGCCAGCTATCCCCCGTATCATTCGCAACCCACACGTTTAGGCTACTCTCCCGAATTATTTGTATTTGCCGTTTATCATGGATTAAATTGATGATGACGTTTATCCCCTTTGGAAAATACGTATTCGCCAATACAAAATTTATAGTCCATTATAATCCATAAATTGGACGAATATCAAATATCTTGTTGTGTTCGCTGTTTGAGAGATACGCATTTTCCTTACATATTTTTATCTATTGACATATTTTAAAAATTTTCCGCATTTTTTCGCAACGTGACGTTGGCATAAATTTTATTATTATTTTTGCTCGAAACAAGAAAGATAGAAAAATTTGTCGAATGCATTTTTTTACCTTTCTGGAATTTGCGCGCAAACAACGTAATGCAATATATGCAAACGCAGCTAATTTTTTTTGAAATTTTAAAATCTCCAAATTAAATTACATTGCTTTTAAATCGTGCCTGAATTCTTTATTTCACGATGATGCTTTAAATTACAACTTTACAATTTTAATTAGAAGCTACAATTTTAATTATAATTTCTGGATCGTTATGAATCGTTATGAATAAACTACAAGATCTCTGGTTACATTGTACGAAAGCGAAAGGCTGATTTTTATTTCCCAAGATTGTAGGACGGATTTTTGAGCGCCGTATGTTTTTTTAATTTTCAGGATTCGGAACTCTGCATCTCGCTCGGTCTGAGTTTGCAATATCTGCGAGTATCGGTGGTCTGCTGGCTGGCGTCGATGTGTCACCATCTTTACGCTACCGTGGCATCCCTACCGCGTCGCGATGATCCGCCAACATACCTCAAGTACAGCCTCTTCGCCTGGGGCGCACCGCTGATCAGCCTCGCGTTGGCGACTCTCCTGCAAAGCCGTGAGAGCAACGATTTCTGGAATGTCGTTGATCTCACTCCCTTCAATTGCTGGTAAGACTTTGATAGCCAATAGTTGGATGTTGAAAATAGACGTTAATTGACGTTTCCGAGAATTTTAAATCAATGTGTGAGAGAATGAGTTTAATACAAGAAATGAGTATAATAAGAGATGAGTATAATACAAGAAAAAATAACGATTTTTTTATGATTAATCGAAATAATTAATTTTGAATTTTATCGAATGTTGAGAATTTTACGACAATCTCTTTTGGCTCGATCTATCGGCTTGAACTTTCTCGTTATCCCTTCGTTCTCGTCTCTCGTTTCCGCATTTATCCGCCGGCTTCAAACTTCTTCTCGACACAGCTCATTTGCTCCTTTTCTGCTATCGAGCCGGGAGGGCAGAATTCTTTATATCCTTCCTATGCTTATTCCCATGTTCACATCTTTCATATATCAAGCAAGATTTTTAGTTTAAAGTTTCTATTTTTAAAGGTTCTTTTGAAAAATCGCGCGATTTAAATTGATGTAGTAATATCTCCCCCTAAAAAAATACAATTTGAAATATGCAGAAAATTATTGATTAGTCTAATAAAAAGTAAGTAAATAAGTATTAAAATTAACAAGATCTCTTTTATCATAGTATTTCGTTATAAAATCTTTTGTCTTTTACAAAAACTGTATACATTACAATCCAATTATATTATTTTAATCGTAATTTTTATTCTGAACTTGATAAAATCAACAAAAACATATAAATATATTGAAGTGAATACTAACTCGATTCAGGACAATTGTGTCGATCCATTCTTCCTCCTCGGTCGAGAGAAAATCCTTCTTCCTCCGTTTCAGGAAGTTGCACGAGAAAATTACCAGCATTTGCGTCTCTCTTTGCGAGAAAGCATGAGTTAACGGAGTGATGCAACTCTCTGTTCCTAATATGCGCATTTCGCCGTCGTGCTCGCATTCCGTTGCTGCGACCCACTTTGTTCCAAGGATTGCTTGCGGGTGAGGAGTACGAAGGGAGGACACGATAGCGGTAACGATGATGGGGCTCGGTTTTCCCCAAATGGCAAAGAATCTTCTGTCGGGAGAGAGCGCGAAGTCCTTTTTCCTATGCTCGAATTCTCTCTGGTCGGACGGAATATCGGAAAGGAGCGGAAATGTTCCCCGCTTTACCGGAAACTTTCGAAAGGAATGCCGTGTATGTGTACACTGCACAGAGATCATTTATTTATTTCTTTTCAATTCTCTCTCTCTCTTTCTCTTTTCCGTTCATATTGCGTTCTCTCTTTCTCTCTTTTGTTTACCCATCTCTATCCCACGATATACCATCGAACGACCAATTTTCGTTAAATTAGATTTGTCGACAACGGTGAACCGGAATACCGAATCGGAACGAGATTCCTGCCATTTTTCAAAGAGAGGTATTCGATAAGAGCATGTATATCATATATCATTGCGCAATACCTCGCGATATTTTTCTTTGTCAGTCTGTGGTAAGATGATTTTTTTCAATTTTATTATTTGCTTTACGATATTAATATAATATATTAATATTATAATAAATTATATATGTATGTCAAACAGACGACAACAATTTTTCGATTGCAATTTTTTTCACAAATTTTTAGCATTCCTTCTTTTATAAAAATATTTAGGAGACCTTTATTTGTTTTCGTAAATATGTAGGCTTTATAAATTAGTTTTATATTATAAATATATTTTGAAATAAGAGGAATTTGAAAGAGATTATTTTTTAATAAAGAAAACGCAGTCCAAAATATTATTAAATATAAATGTATAAAAATATATTATTATTAAAAATTTATTAGAACATTTAATATTTAAGTTAGTATATGTCATATATACTATTTTATAAAGGAGAGAAGAGAAAGAGAGATCAAATCTTAAATTGTATATATATAAATATTTAACGAATTAATCGAACGATTGCATTCCGATTCATCTTTTCGTTCGGTATATATAAGTATTTAATCAATTAATCGAGCGATTACATTCGGCTTGCCATTTTACTCGCCGCGTTACAGTGAATATCGCGCGAGAGAGGCAGGCAACATGCGCGGCGTCGTGCACGATTTCGACCGTCCGCGCGCAGACGAAAAACGGCCAATTTATATCTCGACTTCCGGACGCGATAGCGATTTCGTTCTTTTTGCATAAAATTCTATACCATTTCGCGGCACTACCGTTTAAATCTCGTCCCGATCGCCCGAGAAGCGGCTGACTTACAGTGAATATCCGAAATCTGCTTCTTGGACTCACGCTTAAGTGTAATATTTATATATATCGAATAAAAAAGCGAGTCGGAACGCAATCAGTCGAATAGTGAATTAAATATTTATATATACCAAACGAAAAGATGAATCGGAATGCATTCGTTCGATTAATTCGTTAAATATTTATATTTTAATTAAATGTTAAATTAAATGTTAAATTAAATGTTAAATTAAATATTAAATTAAATCTTAAATTAAATGTTTTAAAAGTTTAATTAAAATTTTTGCAAAACGCTAATCGATGATAATGTATATTATACATTACTAAATATTTATATTATCTATATTTAAATTATTTATTTCTACGAAAATTTATTTGCGTAGATATTCAATTTTCAAAATTTTCATATTTTTCTTTTCTTTTGACATTATAATTTAAAATTGTTGACATAAATATTAAGAATTTAATTTAATGTTTAAATTATCTGCGATTTTTAGAAGCAAATTAGTTTAATAATAACGAGAAATCAACGAGAGATCATTAAAAATATTTGTATAATAATAATTTTAACTCTTGTCATATGCGTAAGAAAAAATTTAGGATCTTAAAGAATGAAAAGAAATGAATATAAAATTGAAATATATATTTCATGAATAAATCGATATCAAAAAAGAAGAATCTCAATACGATTTCGAATTTATTTAAAAATTGAAATTGTTAGAGATTTGTTCCCTCTTTTTCTCAAATTTCAATCTCGGAATCATTCTGTACATTTTTTATATTATTACAATATTTAATTATGTACATTATTATTATGAATTACATTACAATCTTATTGAGACTATTCTTGGGGATGATTACAATCGCGAAAAGTTTCCGAGAGACGCTCGAGTTTTATTCATTGCGCTGTCTTCGCTTCTAGTTGAGAATATATGAGAGATCGAGGGAAATAAACGGCAAGGAATATTTCTTATGTGAGCGTGTATTAAAATCGCTCTGCCGACATGTGCAAAGTAGGCGAACACCGAAAATAGATATTCGATATCGCTCAAGTGTTCCTCGATAAAATCGCGCGTTTTGTAGACACTCGTTTTTCGATCCAAACTGTTCTTGTCGAAGAGAACGACGAGATTTTAGCTATTCCCTGCGCGTATTTGCAATTTATAGAGGCGAGACCTTATATATATAAACGACTAATAAATATTTCTGACACATTTCTTTCATACCGTTTCATGAGAATTGCAACGTCGAATTGAATTTTTATTAGGATGAGCGGGTATTTTCTAGTGGTATTTTATTTCGTGGATACTTGATTGATATATTAATAATATTATATAAAGATCTATAACATATATTTTAATAAGCAAATATAAAATCAATTTTAATATCTGGCTCTAATTTTAACAATTTTTACCTATAGGAAGTAAGAGTAAAATTTTCGGAGACGTCATTTAATACGTCATTTAAATCGATATTTATACAAATAACGAAAAAATTTTTATATTATATATTTTTTTATTCAACAACTTAAATTTAAAAACAATATTTAATGTACATTATATGCTTTATCAATTTCAGGTTTTTGGGAACCACGGCGACGATTTACGCATATGGCTTACCGGTCATTCTGTTACTACTGATGTCCGGTTACTATCTCGTCAAGGCTGCAATTGTGTCGAGGTATAGTTATTTTTCAGTTAAAACTCGATATTAATTTAATTCATCTTTAATAGATTGCACAGATATAATGAAAAATTTTCTAATATCAATTAGCAATCGATTAACTCATTTAACGTTAAACATGTTTTGATCAAACAGTTTTGCGACAGTGCTTATTAATTCTTTTCACTCGGATGTCCCCTCTGAGGGGGACATTGTAAGTTTAGCAGAGATAGCTCCGAGTGCAAAGGGCTAAATGTTTTCCATATTAATCGCGAGCCTTAAATAAACTTCTAAGAAGTTTACATATAAAATGTAATTTTGAATAATTTCTTGCACTTGAAGCGACGTAAATTTTCCTTGTAATTTCAATTTCACTTTTCCGAGCCATAGGACGAGAGAATCTCTTGCATATCTCACTTTCTCGGTCACGAATTACGTCACCGAGTTTACATCGCGTAAATCGCATACGCGCAGGTACACATGCAGTATGCAGCTCGAGATAAAGCAGCGCGAAAAGATGAAGAGGAGGCGGGCGTTGCAGCTGATGCTCTTCCTCAAGGTCAGTCTGATCGTCGGTCTAGTCGCGGGCTGCGGGGTGGCGTCCAGGGTCTGGAAGATCCCCTTCCTGTGGGCGGTTTTCTGCACGGGTCATTCTCTTCAGGTACTTCGAAGTAAAGATACCGCGGGGGTGTAAAAAATCCGCGCACGGACCATTTTGCCTTAAACATGGGAGAGATGATACTCGATGTAAAAGGAGCCTCGGTAGATATGCCCAAGAGAGCGCCATTCCTTCCTGTCGTTTTCCTTCCCTAACGACATACCTTACGACCGCGATATTTCCATCGCAATTTCATAAGATATACGAGCGCGCGCGTTAGAGACTGACGTTGAAAGGTGAGGAGTTATTAACTTTTCTCGCATAATTTCGCATCTTTGCATGAAATCTGCTTGAAACTAAAGAAATTTATGAATCATATATACGTGGAGTATTACATATTCACTTTGGATCGCGCATTATTGCAATCATAGACCGCTATTTGGGTCGTTATTGGACCATTATTCGGATCAATGGGCACGCGGACTATCATGTGGACCATTATTTGGACCATTATCCGGACTGCATTCTTCTCCTATTGTTCCGACCGTAATTTATCTCGAACTAAGTTTGAAATTTAATTAAATTTCTAACTATAAATTTTCAAATATTCCGATTATCGTACGGTTCGCGGATTTAGCCCTCGATATTACACCGACTTCATTTCCGACATAGAGATCTCGGTCGGCATCGTGCATAAAGGGAAGGCAAACGCAAGAACGTGCGGAATCTCTCTCCCTTTTACGGCAAGTTTCTCGAGGAACTTCACACTCTCGACGCTTTCGATCTTGCGTCAAGCGTAAACGGCTTTTCGGAGTGAAAAGAGAACATCTCTCTTTCTCTCTTTTACTTTATATATATATATATATATATATATATATATATATATATATATATACACTTCCATATTTCTTCCCAAGTTTGCCGAGTCGAATCGAGTGTTCTTCAACAGCGAGAGCTTTTCACGATCGACGAATCTCGAAGTGACGTAAGACGCGCGAAACCTTTTTTTTTATCTGTGACTCATATATTGCGCGTTTGTCCTACCCCTTCCTTTAATCTCATCTCTTGCTGGATTTACAATTTTGATAATAATAAGAAAATTTAAGATAATTTTTTAAAACTCGCGTAAAAATCTCGAGTTTCCCCATTCGAATTATCATATTATTGAAATCATATTTAATATTTTATATTTTAATTATTATTTAATTATTATATATAAACTTATATATAATAAAAGTTTATATATATTTATTGAGTATATATTTTTAAAATATATATACTCATATATATCTTCTCTTTCATCTTTAATTTTCTTATCTTTTATCTCTTGTTTATTAGCAAGGATTTAGGACATTTGTGATTTCTCAAAGCACAAATCTCTCGTTTAAATTCTCGTTATAAATGTTATAAATGTTATAAATTAATAATAGTATTATAACATTTTTTTTGTTAGAAATTGAAGAAATTTAGATATACATTTCTATTTTCTTTCAACGATGATATCTCAAGCTTTATTTCCTTTTTAATGTAACGTAAGCTAGATGACTCGTGTTTCTTTGGCATGTAATTCGAGGATATAGCTTTATCTAGCTCGTTGTTCTATTACATACGACAATTCTGCTATACAGGGATCGGCAGTAGCACTCTCCGTTGCGTGCAACTGTAGAGTCTTGAAGATTTACGCCAGGAAATCGCACAAGCAACCGGAACACCAGGTACGAATTTCCTTTGCTGTGCACAGAAATTTCGTTTATCTCAAACCACAATCATTTCGATTAAATTCTTTCCTTTGTCGCTAATGGTGCTTGCTTGGTTTTTTATGTTTTCGCATTTGCAAGATTGTTTCGTATCATTTCGTGAAAAATTTCTCTTGGCGTGAATGAGAATTGATGTATTTAAGTTTCTTATCTTTCTTAATTATTACTCTCTTTTTTTTGCAATTATTCTCAAATAATGTATTTCAGAAGGATTTTTTTATTTCTTTTCTTAATATCTCTTAAAAGCTGTCGGAGAGATATCGCACTTCTTGATAAAACGCATAGATTTGAAGTACTTTCAAGGCAATTTTTTTGCGAACCTTTAAGGATTACTGGGCTTTAATAATGAGTTAAGAGCGGTTAAATGTCTCGAGTCGAAAATACGCGCGTCTGACCTTCAAGTTTATCTCTCTCTACATCATCAGAGATTCTCGTGTGCAAATTATTTAATCCGGTTGATTGCGACGCGTCCTCGTTTTCCAGGTCAGACTGAATTAAATTATCGCGCCCTTCTGCTCCTTATATTTTCGGTTATCCGGTGTTATATTTCTCGGTTTGCGGAGATATCTTGCGGATTTATTTAGATAGTTATATGTATCTTATTCGTGTAATGTGCTTAGACAATTCTTTCGACTTTTTTATCTTGAAAATTATTTTAATATTTTATTTATTAAGGATCAAAATACATTATAATTTTAGATTAATAAGATGTCGTTAGACATCTTATTCGCTGAATAAGTTGGCTTTTCCTTGTCTTTGCGTGTTATTTTTGTGTGGTGCTTGAGCTTTCTGTTCGACACCAAACATTTATAGCGTTATAGCGCGCGATCTCTGTCGTTGACGTTGCAGATCGCGAAATCGAGCAGTAGCATGCAGCTGCTCGCACCCGCGCCGGATCCGGTTTAGGTGATCTATGGGACTATCCTCGGGAAGGAACGAGGGGCAGAAAATGAAGAGGAGAACCAGCAACGGCTGGTGCCATTCTCTGATCCGCGAGGTGTAACTATTTTTACATCGAGATATGTGTTGATATTTCTCTCGTAAATTTGCGTTTCTCTCTGCGACCGGAATTTTTCCTCCGTGACGAGCGATTTCAGTTTCCAAGTTTTAGTAGATTATCTTTTCAAATAACATTTTCACGGAGAAATTTCGAAAAACTTGTAATTTGTAAAGAAACTCGAGGAGATATAAAAAGAAGAAGGAAATGGAGAATTCTCAAAACTATATTTTGTCGATAGAATTCTCATAATATATCGACTGTTACAATATTTAAAATTTTCTGTAATTTTCGACAAATTTATGAAAACTTTATAAAGAGATATACATATATATATGTAGCATTATAATTCCACATAAATGGCTCATTAAATATTGCTTGTGACGTTATTGTCTTTCAAAATGGTTGGTATTCACACAAGCTCTTTTATCTAATTCACGATATAATTATTATTAATTATATCTCCTATATGAACGTTGCAAACGACTTTAATTTTGTGTTGTATAAGCGGTTTATTATACATTACATGTTCTATATAAATTTTGATCAAGTTTTTAAATAATATATTACAACGTTTAACGCGCAAACTATAAAAAAATTAATAAAATGAACACGAAATTAAACTTCTCTAGTGAAAGGATTAACTGTAAACTTCATCTTTTCAAACTTTCTAAAGTTCTTCTAACATTGACAAACTTGAAGGACTAATTTATTAAAGTCAATCTCTGAGCGCGAAAAATTAAGTTATTAATTATTTTCGTCTGTATTTAATTATTTTTATTGGCAAGAAAATAACAACGGATTTAAAGTAAATTTAAACTACATTTGTGTGTGTGTGATCAGCTGATGGATCGAAAATCTATCGAATCTGATATTGAATGTATCAGAAATTAAGAGAAATTAATTATAATTAATTTCTCGTCGGTTGGCTTTCAAGACTGGAATCGCACGTCATAATCCTGATGCGTTTTGCAACCTTACGACGTATGTAACGTCACGCAATGTTACAACAATGTAACACCACGACAATTCAGTATGGTTTTCGATAGCAAGGGGAGGATTTCGCGCTTCAACGAGGAACGCGAGCGGCGAGGAATACGCAATATATATCTGTATGCAGCTACCTTATGTGATATGCATATCATGTTAAATATGCTATAACTGTGCAATCCCGTGCGTGACGAATGTTTCGATACTGAACGTCCTAATTATTTCAATGTACTCTTGGAAATCTTCGGCTCGTAATCTACAGGAATGTAATCTATAATTAATGTGCAATCATATAACCGTATTATCGTCACTTTTCTTGAGATCTGATTAGCGTAAATATTGCCGTAGGAATTTCGAGATTTACATATAAAAAGATTTCTCGTTACGCGACAATTATGAAGATGAGATAAATATTCGTATATTTAATGCACGAGACATTCCGGAGGAAATTCCAGGTCTCTCGATTTTAACAACTTCTTGGACAAACTTGGGAGAAACTTTGTAAATATTAATTATCTCAAATTTATTTCAAAAACGCGAGCACACAGAAGCAAGTGTAGAAAATTATTTCTCTTTTTAAACGCGACCCAGATTTCCCGGACTGTCCTACGAGGGATTAATCCTGGTATCTCGATAAAATTTAAATGCGCGGCCACAGAAAAGAGTTATATGGTTTCACATTAATTCTCCTAGGCGAATCCCGAAACTGGAGCGACGTTATATACGACGGTTTTGCGATCCTGATCGCCGTTAGCGTGGTTTCCGCGCGATGATGGATACCGTAGGGTAGATCGACGTTGTACACCGTAATTCAATTTGTAGAGGTCACTTAAGGAATGAAGTGCCGGAGGAGAGTGAATAGGGAGAATCCTAATAGAAGGCACCGCTGGTCGCTTGCGCGCGATTTACCTTGGATTTTCCCTCGCGTTTAACGTATCTTTTTTCGATCGGATAGAGAGGAGGAAGGGGGGGGGGAAGGTGAAAACCGGTGATCGATCGATCGAAGAACCGGTTCCTCTCCCCTTTCCTCCCCTTTTCTCTAACGAATGTAGAGGGCGAGCTGAAACCACCGCCAGCAGCGGTGATGTATCGATACCTATTGCTTCTATTTCGCGGACGAGGACGGCATTCGCGCGTTTCTTCTCTCTGAATGGTGTCTAATCAAGGACGAGAACAGTGTATAAATTGGGCGCGCTGTGAGTTGATTAAACATATAAATAAGAAGAGAATATATGTGTACGTGCGCGTGTGTGTAAAGTCACCGAAAAGATGTAGAGATATTTCTTTAATCCTTGCTGAGAGAGCAACACGAGTCAAAATGTATGAATTAAGGTAAATGAACGTTTAATTAAGCACTCTTATACATCGGGAATAAAGAATTTTTTAAATATACATTGACTATCGTGTTGTGTGACGAATATATATTTAGTGACAGTGATAGTTGCTGTGTTTTAAAAGTCATTGAATTATCTTAAGTCGCGGGGAAAAATGATGGCGTACGTTTATTTAGCGACTGTATATCGAAACGCCATACAAATGTATGTAATGTCGAGGAGACTCGAGGATGAGACGCGATCGATCGAGCCGGGTGCGTTTAGTCCTTCCCATCCTGGCTTAGTTTGTTGGTTAACATTCGAAGGATTCGAGCGAGCGAAATGCAAAGCGATGTCTAACGTAGGCCGACATATCAATGTTGAATAATATCCTTGAATTTTCTAAGCGTTTCAACGGATTGAATGCCGGACGCGCGAAATTGTTTGTCCGAGAAATCGTCCCTATTCGTGGTAACCTTGATCGATACATGTCCGCGAATCTCGACCGTTCTGTACACAAACGTCGAACGACAAGTGGGTGCTCGTCGAGTCCAACTTCGAGGGTCGCGCTATCAATTGACGTCTATCTCGCAGCCGGGAGATCTCTGTCGGTCGATGAATAATCAGGAGCAATCTCGTGACAGTAATTGTGACATAATTATGGCTCTCCTCCTGTATGTTCCTATAATTGAATTAATTATATAACTCATAAAGCTCACTGTGAGCTCATTCCGACTACCTTAATTATTGATTCTTTTAATTTTGTTTCACGAGAATTGTATTTTGAAATATTCGTCTCTCGATTTTAATTTGACTTTTAATTGGAAATTGTTATTTACCTTGTAATTATTCTTGGAGTAAACAGCTTCAGAAATATTGAAGGATATTTTCCATTCGAAAATATAATTCTCAATTTCAAAGCTATGTAATGCATATTGATTCTCTCTCATTTTTTCAAAAGGTAATCACATGTCTTTATTAAATTCTGTGGTAATTTAATAATATTAATAATTTAATAAGATTATATATTATTACTATTTGATATTCAAAAGAACTACATTTTCTCTCAGCGTATCAATAAGAATGAATTTTTTTACGTCTATTCTTTGAGAAAAAATTCCATTTCACATAATACATTTTCATGGGAATTAAATTCCCTTCGCGTTTCTTTCTCCCAATAATAACCGATCCGACGACACGTCATGGAAAATCTGAAAACGCAACACGAACCATGCCTAAGACCGTCGAGAACAAAATGTGCTTCGTTATAAATAGAATCTCTTCTTGTCGCGGAGATATACGTGTCATACAGACGTGTCGGGACGACGTGTAATATGGTAGGATACTCCATCGATCGCTCAATCGTGCGGTGTCGCGCGTTCACGCAAACAACCCCCAATCCGGATTCCGTCTACGCAAGCTCGTCCGTTATATCCTCGGTTAACGTCGCGATATCATGTATTTCGCGAGGGTTATCGATCGACAGGATTCGACGTGCGAATATCGATCTCTCATCGTGAGGAATCCGCAACGCCGTATGTGTACGTGTATGTGTATATATACGTATGTTTTGCGTACATGCTGTGTATATTTGCGTGATCGCGCGTAGGATGCGGTTTCGCGGCCGGCATTCCCGCATTCGCGATTAACACTTGGTAATGACCTATGTGCAATTCTGCGTTAGTACTTGTGTAATGGCGGCACGCATGCACGTATGTACGTGTAAGCGACGCATGTATAGTCACGGCGAAATAATAAAATATTTTGAAGTCTTGAAAGAGGAAGAGAATTTCGTGTCTCACCTGATTTCGTCAGATCCGTGGCTCTTCGTCGTCATCTTCGAGTTTTCGTTCCTAATCTTCCCAATCTTCCCTCTGCCAATTATGACGTTTGAAACAGGCCTTGAGCGATTTGTCGATGTTCGAAGCGGAAATGATGATTGTCGCGTAGTATCCGGCGAATATTCTTTCTTTATTATCCTTTCGCGAACCTCTCTCTCGTCGCGAGATTTAGAGGAGGTAATCCTATTACATTGGTAAGGATTTGTACCTTTTGCGTCTGATATGTATGCTTCCATAGAGTGTCCCAAATCTCCCATTTTTTCCTATATCTTTCATTTTTGCAGAGCACGCACATATACATTTAATCTTTCGCTGACATATAAAAATATCGACTGTAAGTCTTCGGTTCATTTTCTTACAGTTTTTTAAAAATTGTACTTTCCGATAATAGCATTATATTTGTCGTAAAATTATCCTACAATGTTCATAGAAATCGAAAAGTGGAAACTCTGCAATTAAATTTTCATTAAAAAGAATTCATTTCTGTTAGGCACATATTTTCGATGTTTATCAGCTAAATCCTAATGATTTACATCTGTAAAAAATGATTTTATGTGCGTCTTCATATAAAATGCAAAATTTATATTTCTGGAATATATATAAAAATATTATTTATCATATTATGATGTATTGCACAGAGTCTAAATTTTATATTATATGAAATTGAAAACTTCATTTTATACAAAATGTAAAATTTATATTTCACACATATAAAAGAATATTATATAATATCAACATGACGCATATCAATATCACGATAAAAAACAAAACAATAATGTCTTAATGACTCTAGCAAGAATGCGCTCCATTCTCGATATTAATCTTTACAAGGAAGGAAAAAGCTTGATAACGCCTTTTCTTCTTCGCGCTAATTTTCTCGTTATTAACTTCGTGTAATTACGCGAAGACTGAACCGGCCAACTTATCTCGCGAATTTGTAATTTTGCGCGAGAAGACGTTCTCCAAGCGAGTTAATTAGAGAATTTTGAGCACGTTGAGCCTTCTCGTTCTTCTGTCGCGAGAAACTGCTCCGGACCATCGCAATTGTTGCTCCGAGAATGCTAGGGTCGACATTCGTTAACGGACTCTTAAAGCTTAATGCAGGATCGTTAAATAGAAAGCGCTGATACC